TAGTAGTAGTCGTCGTCGTCCTCGTCGTGGTGGTGGTGGCAGTCGCAGCCGCAGTCGCAGGCGGAGTCGTAGTACTAGTGCGAGTACTAGTACTTATTAAGAGCAGGAGGAGGAGGAGTTGTGGTAGTAGCAGCTCTGGTTGATGTCCTTTGGGTAGGGTAGTTGTCGTCGTCGTGGTCGCAGTATAACAAGAGCAATTGCAGCAGCAAGGTCAGAGCGATTGTTTGGTACGAAGCAAGCGTGGGTAGTTGGCCTGTTTTGCTTCAACCCAGATAAGGTTCGACCCTTTTGCCGCTGTGGGCACGGTCAATTTCACCGGCCTGGTGATGTGCTACAGGAGAGTTTGTCTGGAAAGTGCTTCGAATAACAGTGCCAGCCATCGCCAGCTCAGATGTAATATGCAGTGCCACTTGAAAATTGCTCTGATCCTGAAGGGAAGCTGCATTTGCGTTTCTCGCTAAGTGTGAGGTGCAATGCTTCGGTGCCAGTTGGGCAGGCTCAGCCGGTAGCCTTTGTTTAGTTGGTGGCCAGGACACTCTTTGGAAATGCATCCAATGGAACCTACAATTTCACTGTGCCACCGGACACTGCATTGGAGAGGTCGCTCGTTTGCACCGGATCGCCGCCACATGAATCACTTCATCGTCTGGCCCTGGCCCTCACCTCATCCCAGGGAGCGAACCAGCCCAGGTACACTCACTTCCTAGTGTACAGTTCATCGCCTCTGGCGGAGCAGACCACTCCGGTGACCCGGGTTGATTTGTGCTCCTTGACTTTGGGGTTCGCTGCTGTGTAGGCGGAGCCGAAAGAAATTTCCGGAATTCTTGCCAAGTCCAGCCTGCCGAAAACGAGCATGTGCTGCGTCAAAAGGCTTAGAGCTGTGAGGTTCTGGCTGCTTGCAACGTGGCTAGAGCCCATGAAGCAATGGTTGGCAGGAGATACACTTGATCTATGACATGGATGCCAGTGTCAGCAACATTACCTACCAGGGCAAGGCCGGCAGTATGAACGAAGTGTTTGAGAACCTTTGCTGCGAAGTGCATGATCAAGCAGACGCTGTCTGATGTGATGCAACCTTGACAGAAGTGACAACTGCTTCAGACTTCAGGATGTTACATATTCTCACGGCGTGTCACATCACGTGAATATGCATAAATACTGACATTCAGCCATACCGTGTCATGCCATTCCCTGACATGCCGTACGTACATACAGATGCAGTTATCTGGTTTACAGTTACAAGCATCACATTATCTGGGATCGAATTTCAGACGTTTCAACAAAGTCAGTTAGTCTAAGCTCTTGGCTCTTGGCCGGACACAGACATAATTGCAACCCGAACGGCTTGCATGATCCCGCAGGCTTCGGGTTTCTGATGGTGGATTCCTTCGGCTTACATGTTCTCGAAAGGCCCCATAATATGCCGTAGGCAGGTTGTAAGACTTGTAGGAGTCTGGGAGCTGCAGGGGCCAGCACTTTGTGCTCAAGGTCCGTTTCTCCATAAAATCTGAAACATGTCTTCCCAAACATATCATGTGTGTATGTTCCGCCTTTGTCAGGACTTGGACTCTCTCGAGCTCGGTGGTCAGATTGCCTGGGTGGAGCCAGAGCTCATGGAAAGGGTGCAAGGCACTTGTAAATACTAAGTGATGTCAGGCGCCTCTCTCCCACACACGATCTAAACGTCGCTGTATGGCTGTCAGCTTGTTTTGTGACTGCCTTTCATTAGGATCTAGGTGAGAACATGCTCTGGCCCGAAGTCGGGGGCTTGAAGCTTGGTGGAAAGAACCGAAACCCCGGACAGTCAAGGATCCGGAGTTTCACCTGACATAACATGCCGTCGTTACTCTCTCATGAGCTTGTTCAGTACTTTGCCCTTGCCCTCAACACCCTGTTGGGAGCACTCAGACCGCGAACTTCGCAACTCAGTCTTGTGAGGCTACATGATCTACTTGGCCATCCTCTCCGATGGCACGGGCAGGTCCCAGGCGAGACGTTGGGAAGTGTCGCAGAAATGCATTGACTTACGATACACCTTGCCTGTTGACGCAGTCATTAGTAAGGCGAGTTGTATTCTCCTGCTTATGCTTTCAGACAGTTTGATTGGAAATGCTGTCGCATGCCTCCAGAATTTGCCTCTCTTCGAAATTAGGAATGTTTGTTCGAGACCTGGACCTGTGGCAAGGTTGGAGGCGAAGTTCCTGCGGGCACTCATGACACTGCACTCTTCCCAGCTGCTCGTCAGCAACTGCGAGTGCAAAGCCTGCGACCATAGACAGTTGTGTAAGCGGATGTAAGCGGTATTCCTGGGCTAAGAATTTGATTTGATTCGAAGCCTCGCCCTGCACTGCAGGAGCAGCCCAGAGGCGCCTTTGACTTCTTCACGGTAGCTGGGCACGGAGTCTCGAGCCATGAGCTTTTGCTTGCTATTCTTGGCGTGACGAGACAAGGTTACAGTTTGCTGCTAAAGGCAATTGACATGGCAACCTTGGCTCTCAGATGGGGTTGCTGTGGCTGTAGGAAGATGTGCACAACTTGCCGTCTCAAAGCACAAAACGAAAGGCTCGTGTCCATCTTGATGCATGCATTGGCGGCAGACCGTATGATTCTTGCCGACCGAGGTGTACACAAGGCCATGACCGGCTTGGGGTGGGCATTCCATGTTCGGCTTGACAAGCCCTGACACCGAAGCCCGGAGTCCTGCAACTCGAACAGCTCTTCGATGAGGTTCTGGGCACAAGAAATGTGTGCTTACCTCGCTGCTCCTGGAAGGTCCAGTCTCGTGGAACAGACCACGCCGGTGTTCCTGACCATAGAGGCGACTCTTGCTTCCTGCGCGCATGTGCAAATCAATCAATCCATGCATCAATCAAACAACCAGCCAATCAATGAATCAAGTCACTCACCATGTGACAGCGCAGTGGCACAGGTCAGGGGTTTTAGATTTGGTTGAGGGTTGACATGTGACAGCTTGTACTTGACATTGCATGTGTAAGCTAGTACCTGACACTGGTGCATGCAAACGTTCAGCTCAACTTTCTTTTCGTGTTTCGTCAATGACCAACATGGAACACGATGACGTGGTATGGTGTTTAGTGGTTTTGATTTTTGTGCAAGTATTCAGCAGACTGACTCCAGCGTGTCCTGCTGTTGAAGTAGCAAGTCTAACAGGACGAGGTGTCCTATGCGCGCAACGTGAGCTTTGTCGACGACGACTTGGACGAGAATGAACTAGGCACCTCAGTAAGCAACATGATTTCGTCACGGTCTCCCGACACACGGCGGAAAAATAAGTCTCACTTGGCCAGACAAGATCAGTCTGATGCACTCCGTAGCTTTAGCTGTTGGCTGGATTTCGAACAGGCGAAGCAGATGCTGACACTTTTGCTGGCAGGTGGTTGGCTGCAGTGGCGCATTCCGGAGGATGCCAGCGAGGTATCCTGGCGAGCATTCGTCCACCGGACATTTTGTCCCAAAGTCTTGGAGACAAGATTGCGGATTCTCTGCACGCGTCGGTTCTGAAGGGGCATGACGCTGCTGGCCAGTTTTTCTACCCCTCTACAGATTTACTCTCATTTGTCGCTGCAGCTCTCGCGCTGAGGGCTAACATGGTGAGCAAGATACTCTTGCGTCTTCGTCATGTCGCAGCACATATTGGGAGTGCTCGAATTTCGACTTGTCAGATGTGACCTCTTCGTGCTGGATTACGCGTTGGCTTGACTATTACGAAGTTTGACTCTGGGCATGTGGATGCCCACTAGCAACAGTGTCATCAGCATTTGTTTGCAGCCTTCGCAGAGTCATCGCAGTCATAACGAGGGCATCTCATAGCAAGACATTGCAAAGGTGGTTGAGGCACTGTATGCATCTATGCACATGCATGCATACAGACACACTTGCGTAAGCGCGTACGCACATACTACGAACAAGCCCACGCACAGAAAAAGCAAACAAGCAATCAGAGACGGACAAAACGACAAAGAGATAACGAAGCACGTAAACATACATACACACATACATACGCATGTAGGCACGTGCATACGTACGTACATACAAAATACATGCATGCACGCATGCATGCATGCATACCTACGTACCTACATACTTGCAGACACACATCACAACACACCTACATATATGTACACACAGCTAGAAAGATACACACACACACAGAGGCAGGCACACGTATAGATGGATGATGGATGGATGGATTGAGAGAAGGATGGAGAGATGGATGGATAGATAACTAGATAGATAGATAGATAGATAGATAGATAGATAGCCCGGCAGGAAGGCAGGCAGGCAGGTAGGTTAGGAAGCAGGACAGTCTTGGGTCTTACTTCTGCATCAATATCGTTGTGGGCTTGCTGCACGGCTTGCTCAGGCAGCTCGTTCTTGTTAATCTGCTTTGGTACTGGTAGCCAGTATGATTGCCCGGTGTTGTCATCTACTCAGACATTTGTGACTCAGGAAGTACGGTCGGGGGCTGGGGGCACCATTTGGTTTTGACACTCCTCTGCCTAAGCGTGGAAGACTGTCAAGGTGCGAAAGTTCATCGAAGAAGTCCAAGATGTTTGCTTTGTCCCGGTTTTGGGGGATATCGGAATCGAGCCAGCCTGGGGCGTAGGGCAACAGCTCGAACTTTGACTGCTTCGGGCTCGAGAGAGGTTTGTTGCAGTGGGGCCCAGTCTACGTGACTGGAGCTGGATGGATGAGCAATGATGGCCACAATACCGAACACTGAAACTGTGAAAGCATGCACGCAGTCTACCCCGTCGAACGTATCTGTGGCAGCTGATCATCGAGATACGAAAAAGCAAATAGGATGACAGCGGAATTTAGAGGATTAGCTACATAGTATTAACAGCAACATCAACAAAATCACGCAACTCACGGCATGAAGTTGCGTATCATTTGCAAGTCCATGGTCGGGTTTGTTCCACTTTCACGAGATTCACTATTAATAACATGAACCTTCAGTTGCAGCTACAACATCATCGAAGGAGAGCTGCCGATGCAGACTGACTCGATTCATGCGAGATCAAAGCTATACCTGCCCAAGTTAACATTGGTATTCATGCTTGTCGGTTGTGGTTGCAAGATCGTGATGACAAGTTTCCTTGAGCAAGGTCACGCACTACATTGTGTACCTGGCTGAGAACCTTGCTCCGAAGTAGCATCCTTTTCATTATTTTCCATTCCACCGCACCTCCGCCTCAGTGCACAACCTGAATCACAAGTCACCTCTCAACAACCCCGAAGCCCTAGCACTGTCACCTGTTCGCTTTGCACCGAGATTTCGCGTTTCCAGGAACGAAGCTGGCGACAACCGAAGCCTGCTTGGAAACGTGACGGCAACTCGGACAGACTATGTTCTTGCCGAGACAACGCTCAATGCTGTTGTCTTGACAGTTGTCTTGGCCTGCGATGTTTGATGTTTGTTTCGATATTTGGTCATCTCCTCACATCGCATGGCACCTGACGGCAACGGCATCCAAACGAAGCCGAAAGCAACGTGTCAGGCCACTTGCGTCAGATATCACCCAGCATGCAAGGAATTTGCCCTAATCTGCTGCGAGGCAGAAGAGTTGCAGACAATTCTAGCGCCATCGGGATTTGAGGGCGATGCTGCAGCGGGCGCCCAACGAAAGCCGCGCATGCAAAAGGAAAAGTTTAGTTTAGCATCTCCGCCAGCACGAAGATGCGGGTCTAGTTGCCTGCACAGAGCCTTGCCAAGGAAGTTCATTTATAATTTCATGCACTGTAACAACCTTCTACTGTCGGTGGTTGCTGCTGGCATCTGCGTATTCTGGTTGCTGAACGTGTTCGTTTTCTCTTTCTCTGTCGCTCCCTCGCCCTCGCCGCCTCTTTGAGCTTCCCTGAAAGGGTGTTTGCATGGCGTGAATCCTTGAAGGAGACTTTTAGCACTCTGTGGTGAGAGGTCGGAACGCATGAGTTCCTCGTTCCGGCCGACACCGGCTTGGAGTCATTCAGGCTGCCCGAGTCCAGGCTTTATGCTTCTGGTAGGTTCTAGAACTCAGCTGCATGGCTGAACCCGTCATCTACCGTCTCTACCCGTTTGTGTCATGTGAGTTCGACATAGTTCGACAAGCACGAGCCCATGCCAACGCAGGCGTTAACCCAAATTCACCCGGCCCCAGGTCCGGAAATTTCCGGAAGCAGGGCCATGTTATCTGAAACTCTGTTAAATCTCTGTCACTGCAAGCCTCTAGAAAGGTGCTGTGTTCTTGCTTATGATGTCATGTGCAAGTTGCCTCCTTGGGGTCATTCGGGGTCCAAGGGTTGCCCCCGTTCTCTTGCATTTTCGCCTCCATCGTCACTTGCAGCTAGCCGCAGCCAGGTTCCTTACAGTCTTCGCGCGCTCCAGCTTGGCCGAGCAGACGACTCCACGCTATGCCGCCGGCTGAAGACTGGAAAAGTGAAAACCTGCCGGTGCAGAACGGAGCAGCTTTAGGTCGAAATTGTCGACACTGTGTCCAGCGTCTCGAACATTGGATTCACTGACAAGGCCTGTTTTTAACATCGCTCCTTGGAGCCTTGGCTTTACCGTTCCGTCAGGATCTCGATTGGGATGAGCTGGGCGGCTACATGGACTGGCAGGCTCCCGCGAGCCACAGCCAAGTCCTCTTCTACGAGTCTCTCTGCCGCACATTTGTTGCACTGGGCCCTTGTCTCGGCAATAATGTTTTCACACTGAGTCCTCAGAGAATCCGAACAGGTTGTACTTGGCGGAGAGCTCCATGGGCAAGAACCGCCTGAACTATCCCAGCGGCAGCACTCCGGTCGGGACCACAGAGGTGCTGTGGCCCGCCGAGACGCCCAAGGAAACTTGGCAGGATTTGCATGTGCCGGATGCGCACAGCGAATGAAGAGCTGTACAGTGTAAAGCATGCGCTCCACACTTGTCGCGTCGCAGCGATGCCTTTTCTTTCTGTAAGGCAGCCTTCACTCATTTCGTCATCTACACGAAGTCCTGGCTTGCAGAACAGACTACGCCAGTGGCTTTGGAATTTGAGGACAAGGCATGACGACACAATCGTGCCGTGATTGAAAGGCGATGCCATCCGAGTGTTGGGTGACGGGAATGAAGTTTCGTGTGCAGCAACTATGTCCCCAATTGCGTTTGATGGTGTGGTTGAGGGTCGAGGGTCAGCGAATTTGGGCAGGTGTCGCTGGTCCGTGACATCTCCTTTCCTGATTTCGATCTGGACCTGGAGGATGCGTGCACGTGTTGTGAGATCCCCACTTGAAAACCTCTTCGGGGGTCTCAAGTCGGGTTCGAACAACGCCAAACACCTTTTCGAGCTTTGAACCTTGCAGGACATTGGAGGGACCATCTCCTGGGAAGCACCGAACGACACCAGCCAGGTGCGAATGCCGACTGCGACAGCAACCGCAGTAATCCCCTCCTTCTTTCTGGACAGCGTTCTGGGCCTAATACTGAAACTTCGTTAGGGAACAATTCCAAAACGGAATTTCAAGCGACAACCCACACCAAAGCGGAATTTCAAGCGACAACCCACAAAACCTCGCAAAACCTTATGTGCCAAAAAACAGGGGCCCCACAGCGTCCCTTTCTGTTTATTCAACACCCCCTACTAATAAAATCATGTTGGGGCAAATCCTCCCAAAATCATCTCTGCCTTTTAAAACCTATTCTGAATTAGGGGGAGGGTTTCTATTGGGGGGGCCCCCGTTTGATATTAGGGGGAAGGGATTGGCGGATAGTCACGGCATACCTCATCACAAAATGGCTTAAGATCCATGCATGTCTAGGCCTGGGTCAGAGCTCTCGATATCTGCATCACAGGCTGCGTCACGAGGGGCATGCTAGTCTACTGCGACACAGGTGACTCACTATGTCGTGTACTTGGGCCAGGCGCGTGGGAGTGGGCAGAGTGAAGATGTTTTGCTGCAAGAGAAGATCACGTCAGAAGCGGAAGCCCCACATTTCGGTCGACGGCATGGGCAGGCTAATACGACCAATGGCTGCAACACCAGCTATCAGCTGCAGCCAGAGGAAGCCAACACCTCAACGGCCTTTTCAGCCCCTTGGTAGATTCGGGCATTTTGGCCAAATTTGAAAGCAGTCGAACTCTTGGAAAAGACGCTGTGCCTTTCTTGAGCGAAAGTAACAGGACTGGTGCCTGCTGACCTACATGGGCAATACATCCGTTGGGGAGCACGACCTTTTCATCTCTCCAGACACAGGCAGATATTAATATGAGGTCAAAGCTTTGGGCACAAACTCTGTCTGCTTTCCACAATCATATATGGGTGCAATTGTCACATTCGACACTCGGCTCGCAGCGGAACTTGAAGTTTCGTGACTGGCGAGCTAGCTGCTTGCGTAGACCTTGGCTTGAGTTACTGTAGTTTCCCCGTTCTCAAGCCCTGCAGGTGTCCCCCCGTACACACACGTGGCAGTCTTCAGCTTGAGCTCTCTGGTGGAGCAGACCACTCCTATGACCCTGGTCTTCTGGGATGAGATTGCCAGCGTTTCCAATATCAGGCTGCCAAGGGATAGCTTTGAACCAGTACCACGTTTTGGCACCAGGTCCCGTGAGGCACCTAACTTCCAGAGGAGTAAGGTGAATTCGGAGAACGGTTCCCCCGACCACGAACAAGGAATCAGGCGTTGTGCAATGAGCCCTTTGCTCAAGTTTGAGTGTGTGATGCCTTGGTACTTCTCTCTAGTTTGCTGCACATCGGAACCCAGAGATGGCGCCCTGGCCAATGGAGCATCCCGCAGCTGCCTGTGCTTGACTGTGTCCGACATTCTGTGACTGCATGTGAAGACACTCACAAGGGTCTCTTGCCCCGGGTGCAACCTGCAATCTGGTTTGCAAGCACTTCCTGATCCTCCGCGTGCCCCGGAGGTTCGTAGACCAAGACCTCGATGAGGTCGATCTAGGCGGAGATGTGCACTGGGAGGCTCCAGAATCGATACGGAGGCCACGGGTGAACTGGGTGCCGAACTGCGTTGCATTCGCGATGGAGTCGGGGTTACGGCGTAGTGTCACCGAGCATTTGAGAAGCTTGTAGCTTCGAAATCGAGAGTTAGCTTGATCATCGCGATCGCTGCAGGGTCTCAGCGTACCTTGTGAAGCTGGCCACCGATGAGCCAGTTCCGACCGACCACTCGCAGATAGGAAGCTTGCTGGCAGGGAGGTATATGTAGACTGTGAACATGCTGGCGTTGCGAGAGTTCCTTGTGCAAATTGGTTTCTCTGGTCGAGGCCTCGATGTCCCAGCAGGCACATACAATCTCCTGGCACCAGCAGACATGAACCCATTGCACTACACTCGGATCGTCGTTTACACCCGGCAGCTTGGATTTCAATCGAGGCTGATTATTCAATCTAATCACTTGTGTTACCTAGTTGTGGACGGAAAGGCCAGGATGCTGAAGCATTATAGCATGTGATTAATGGCAGTCCGTAAGCTGGGCCATTTCGCATCGGCATCTGGTTTCCCATGCCACAACGGCGTCGTGGTCCTGCGAGATTATTGTGACAGGCAAGTTGGCTTGACTGCCGAATGTGCCATGAGGTCCACGCTTTCGGAACAGACGACTCCCGTGGGCTACCACTTTGTGGACAAGTCGTCACCTGTGCTGATTCTTGCCTAAGTAAAATTTGCTCCAGTGGAATTTAAGAACAGTCCCGAGCTTCATCTTCCGAATATAAACGGGGTACCGGACGCCTTGTTTACAACTTGAGGCTGGCTACCAAGGCTGACAAGTAAGTGCAACCGTCAGCAATCAAAGGGATCACATCGGAGGAATGTGTCCTTCTTTGACTACGACCTGGACGAAACCGATTTGTACGGAGACCTTTTGTGGGAAGCACCAGAAGACGAAGAGCAAGTGCCGGCCTCTCAGCATCACGGCAACCGCCAGCATGCAACGTTTAGTTTAGAGTGCATTCAGGAATATTGCCCTCCCTCCCTTCCCCTCCCTCCCTGCCTCCCTGCCTCC